CCATGTCCAGACCTAGGCATCCAATTCCAAATCCATGATGCCTAGGGCTGGCTCACAGAGGACAGACAAGGCTTTAGAGAGATCTGTGAAGGGGGGAAGAGGTCCCATAGGATAAGACCCTGGAAGAGACACTGAGGAGTCTATGGAATTAGTGGATAGAGGAGTTGGTGCCCATAGAGAGGTTGAGAAGGGAGTCAGAAGGGCCAGAGGGGAATTGGGATAGTCAATATCAGACTCACTCCAACCCTAAGACCAGTAGGGCTAGTGGGAAGAGATCAGGCTGTTAAGAGGACCACACTATAGTAATGCTGGTCAGCTGAAGGCTTGTAAGCTGGCAGGCCCAGAAAGGCAGGTGAGATCCATCACTGAGGAAGTTGTGAGTTATACACCTCACTCCTGAGTACGTGCTAAAGTGACCATGGCACCTCATAGCCACTGTCTGTCCTAGGACCCTCCCAGGGTCCTAGGCTGTTCCCTCTAGCACCAAAGCACAGCCCAGGTCCAGTTCTGAAGTTGCAGAGACACGGAGTCAGATCCTACCTCCGTATTTGCAGGTTCCAAGAAAGTCACTTAGGTCCAAGCCTCAGTTTCCTCACCTGTAAATGGACGAAGAGACAATGCCAACCCACAAAGGCGCTTATGAAATTAAAGGAGGTAGCAGGATGGCAGTGCCTGGGGAGCTACTACTGTGACTGCTGGTGGGGTTGGGGCTTCCCAGAGTGGGACACCCTTGCACAGAGAGACAAAACAGAGAGCCTTGGAAGGGCACCCTGAACTTTGTCCAGCAAAATTCAGGCATAACCATCATTGAGAAAAGCCTACCACTGGATATGCCTGTGCCTTAGAAGCTGAGGATGCTGGCTTGGGGAGGGCATCATTTCTGCATCCTCTTGGGTGTTCTCTACTATGGTTTAACATGGAGGTCCCATCCCAGAACTCATGCTGAACCTGAATCCTCAGTACAAGAGTTGGCTGACTTGAGGAATGGGGTAGCATTCCTGCAAAAAGGCCCCAGGCCAAAGGGACACTCTTTTGTCCTACTGTCTCCCACCAGGCAAGATTCAACAAAAGACCATCACAGAAGCAGTGTGGCTACTTCAGACACTATGTTGGAGCCTTGATCTTGGACTTCCAGCTCCCAAAACTATGAGTTGTAAATTTCTTGTTCTTTATAAACTATTCTAGGCTCAGGTATTTTGTATTAGTGACAGTCTCAAACACTGGTTTCATGTTGACATTTCGGAATCATGTTGTGGCCTCCATCATGAGAAACATTAAAAAACCATCAGGAAGAACAGTAAGGACAGAGGGAGAGGGAAGAAACTTGCACAGAGGGAGGGGTAGAGGAGAGAGCAGAGGGACTGGATGGTTGGCTTTTGATCTCTGAGTTTTCTGGTTTGTTTATGCAGACAGTACTTGAATGGTTGTGAGAAAATACGTCAGCCCCGCCTGCTTCTGCTTTGCTGTTCTCTTTAATTTATGTGTTGCTGAGATTAAAGATGAGTTTTCAAGCCACCCTGTCGGACCCCTGCTTTGGGTCCCTATAGAGAGTCTCAGGAACCTAGTGATGGCCACAGGGAGGGGTGTCTTCCTTCATGCTGATAGACACAGGGCATGGGCCTTTCTGCTGCAGGGAGTCCTAGCCTCCTGGAAAGCTGTTGTGTAACTTTCAAAGGATACATGACAAGCATCTACTAACCCAAGATAAAGCACCGACTACAGATCAAAGAAATGATGCCATTCAAGTCTAGTTATTGAGATTACTTACAGGAGACTAAGTGAGGGGCTGCTTACAGGACCATAGTGATTCAAATGCAGCTGTATCACTGAGAAGCCCAGTTCAACATGGATGGCAAGCCCTGAATGCTGCATCCCTGGAGTTCCCTGCACAAGTTCCAGGTAGTTCCTCACCCCAACAACTGTTACTGATTATATAACCATGGGGAGGGCTTTATGAATTTTGTGAACTTCCTGAGCTTCCTAAATCTGGCAAGTTGCATGAGTTTCCCTTCCCTGCTCTAGGAGAGACCATTTCAATTCAGACGAAATGGATCCCAGGATTGAGGTCTCCTCTGTAGCTGATCCTGCTGACACCCTAGTGAGATACCAGAAGTAGATGTCCCCATCCTTGTCCTGGTCTGGTGTCTATGTTTGTTCATGGCATTGCCATTATTGGCTGACAGTGGCTCCATTCTACACAATGGTCTCAGTACGTAAGTGCTCTATCTGCCTTGAGACCCAGGGAGGCCTAAGCCTGCTGCTCATCACTCAGCAGTGCAAATCTATGAGAGCAAATGTGTGCTACAAGATTCAGCCTAACAGGACTTAGTTCTTCCACCCCCCCCTTCTCTTCCTCCTCTTCTCAGCTGTTCAGTCTCTTTCAACCACCTTCCTTACCTGAAATGAGGATCAAATACCTGCTGCAGGCATACAGCCCTCTGCTGGTCCCTGCATTGCCAGTCTACGTTACCCCAGTGTTAGCCTTTGCTCATTGTTACCATCCATAGGAAAGTAGTTACGATGCAGTAAGACATGCTATCCCCCGAAGATGAGCTTGACATAGACAGTGGAGGGGACTCTGGAGAATGTGCCTGAGCTGGGCTGAGAAGTCATGCTGTGAGGTGGATGGATTCCTGGTGTCTAAGCTTCATCTGTTCTTTCTGTGTATCCAGACCATCTGAGCTTCAGGTCAGGAAGTTGGGGTAACCCAGAAACATGCTATGGTAGGCTCATGCTCTGGGTGTAGAAAGGCAAGTTCCCATAGGTAGACCAAATGGCTGAGAGAGGCCCTGGGGCCCTGGGGCCCTGGCTTCCCCTGGGCCACAGAGTGCCCCAAGAAGAGCCCTCTGCTCACATCTGCTCAAGGGGGAGAACCCCCCTTGTCCCAGAGAGTGAACCCTGGAAAGCGTCAGAGAGGCTGTAACCCGGACCCAGACACTAGAAACAGAATGTCTGCTATCCACCAAGAGAACTGGGAAGGACACAGATTGGGCACCCACCTGGTTGGAGGTATGGAGGGTGCAGGGTTGAACCACAGCGCACTCAGATGGGATCGTGCTATACTTAGCTCACTGCTGTACCCTGATGCTTGGCACAAGCTGGGTACCATGGCAGTTGGAGACAGACATCAGGCTGTAGAAAGCATGCGTGCCTGTCTGAACACTGTGTAGTGGAGGCCATGGCCTGCACAGACAGTCACAGTGAAACTGCACTCAACCTCCCTGTCAAGTGGTGGTCTGTGCCATTTAGCAATGAGCAAGGCATTTCCCTTTAGATGGCACCAAACCTGCATTGGAGGGGACTGAGGGGACATTTGTCCACATTGGAAACATATATATGCCTGTCATGACTGGAGAAGAAATACCACTGATATATCATATGTCACTAACACTTTGTCCTACTAGGAGGGCGCCACCTCAGGGAATAATCTGGCCCCTCATGTCAAACACTCTCTGGCACATAACACACACCATTACTCTTTACACTAAGTAACTTTCCATGAACACCTGCCCAGGAACACCTACCATCTTCGCAGCAGGCTGTGAAGATCAGAACTTCCAATCATCATATGTGGCCCTATCTCTGCCCCTGGCCTGGAGTCACTCCATTCATGGAGCATCTGCTGAGTCTCCGTCCCTTGGGGAACTTCAGAGGCCTCTTCCTGGACCACAGCCCAGCCCTACCAAGGCTGGCCTTTGTAGGCAGGGGGTGATTGGGTGCCCCACCCCCTCGCTCGTTACTACCCATCAGGTCATCAGGAAAAAGTCTGAAATCTGTTGTCTGTCGACATCTGTGGTCTGTGTCCCCCAACTCCACCTTTCCTGTTGTTGAGTCTGAGGCTTGTAACCCAATGAGCTTGGATTAATGCTCTCAGGAGGCTTTCACCCCAAGGCTGAAGACCTTGACTTGCTCTTCTGTTTAATGGGCTGACAACACTCAATCCTACCAGCCTTGTGTGCACCAAAATGAGGTGGGAGAAATTTGGTGATTTAAAAATGGTATGAGTTAAGGTAACCATGGGAAGTCACTCCGGATCATTTGTCTCCAAGGGGCCAGTGGTGAGGGAAGCACTCTCTACAGGATGGTTGGCACATGTAAGAGGGATAACCACCGATTCTCTGAGCAGCCCCATGAGACTGGATGAAGCAAAGACTTGGCCCTCCAGCCCTGGGATGCCCAGGCTCTGTTTCCTCAGAAGCATGTAGCCAAGCCACCTGGTGTGGAACCCCTTCTCCTCCCACCCCTCCTCATCTTTCCACAGTGAACTACTCCTCTGGCGCCTGACCAAAGCCTCCTGCTTCCAGCACAAGATTTCTGCCCCAGAGACTGCAGTGGGGCCCAATGCCTCCCTCTCACCTGCAGTCCTCTCCAGGCTGGGCTTGAGGTCCAGGTTCTCACCCAAACCTGGCTTAGTCTCATGTTCAGGCCTCTGTGCAGCAGGGTTCTCTATGTACTGTTGTGGACAGAACACCTTGTCACAGTGCCTGGTGCTTACTAGAGGAGACCTGCACCCAGACCTTCCAGCTAAGTGAGGAAGCCCACCCTTCTTCCTGCTCCAGAGTCCTCGTTCTCAGAGTGGAAATGGGATCTCTAGACAGAGGTCAGGACCTCTCCAGACTGTCTTGAAGACTCACAGCGAAGACACCTCGTATATGGGGTGCACCTGGACTCCCACAGGAAAGGAATTTGATGGCAACAGGGCGGAGATGTGTGCCCCACCGGAGGTCAGGGTGCAGGCACCGGAGCTGGGACCGAGGTTATCCTGGGGGCGGTCGAATCGGTAGAATCCGTCACGTGGCCCTGTGTCTCCTTGCTCCTGTGCTGCCAGAAAGCCATGCATTGCCCCTTTAAGAAGGGGTCCCGCGCCCCGTCTCCGACAGCGCGAAGCCCTTAAGGGCGACAAGGACCGACGCGGCGCAGCTGTTACCCGGAGGAGGAGGGACAGGGCTGGGCGGGGTCTGCAGAACGGGCTGGGCGGGGGCGGTAACTAAAAGGAGGGGGCGGACAGGGCTAGGGTCTGCCTGGAGGCGGGGCGGGGTCTCCGAAACCAGCCAGGCGAAGGGCGGGATCTTAGAGGTAGAGGTGGGGCGGCGTCCACAGCACCGGCTGAGCCGGGGGCGGTGGGCAGAGGCTCTGGCACCCAGCTGACTCTGGCCCACTCCGGCAGCGGAGACGCTCGCGGACGGCACGGGTACTATGGGCTCCTGCACCGGCCGCTGCACGCTCCTTGCGCTCTGCACTCTGCAGCTGGTGAGTCTGGGTGTTCTGCGTGGTTCCCCGGATCCGCACCAGCCTGGGAGGCCCCCGGGATGACGGCTCGACCCGGCTGCAATGCTCCGCTGCCGGACTTGCGAGGGGAGCCGGCACTGTGTCCGACCCGGCTGCGCCCAGCTGTTTACGCGGGGGCACGGCGTCCCGGCCGGCGCGGACAGGTGCGGACGACCTTTTGGGAGCCTCTCGGAACAAAAGCCTTCGGGTGGGGCGCCCTTGGGGGACGCGCTCAACAAGTCGGGTGTACGTGGTCGCGGGGATGCTGCTGCGTCCTGTGCCCGCGCGCTCTGAAGACTCGTGTGTGCACGTGTTACCGAGGCGGCACCGGGGACGGAGCCAGCAGCCGGTTCAGTGTCTGAGTGTGGACACTAGAGTCGCGTGTGTTGGAGAGTGGAAACGCCTGGCTCGCCCCGCGTGTGCACAGTGCCTATTCTCCCCATTCTCCCTCGCTTGGAGAGCGCGGGGGGCTCTCCCGGTGCCTTAAGGATGAGCCATCAGCCCCCCGGATGCCGTCTTGTCAGAGAACTCGAGCGACCCCGGGCAACTTTCCAGCCCTCCTAGAGTCTGGAGCTCCTGGGATGCCTGGAATGTGGGCTCTGGGGCTGCTAGAAGAAGGGGCTAAACAAAGGTCGCTAGGGAAGCTCCTTTGCGTACATGCTAATGAGTCCTGGGGCTTTGGCCTTAAAAAGGAAATGTTGCTTTGTTGTTGCTAGGCTGGGTGTGGGCCTGGGCCCAGCTGGACCTGATGCCTCTTCTGCCTGCTGAAGCTGGAGGTCCCTGAGGAAGAGGTTGTTTCTAAAAAGCTTTAAGGCATTTTGGCCTCCTGTCCTCCTAGTAGGGCAGGTCTTGTGTTGCACCTCCAAGGGGCTGCCAGTCAGGGTGTGGGGCTGTAGGGAGGTGAGTGGTCTGCAGGGCTCTGCTGGACAGGTCAGTCTAGGGAGAACTGCCTGCAGCCTTAGAGCAGTCCTGAAGTGCTCTCAGGAGGCTCCTGGGAAGGCAGGGACAATCCTGCAGGATGATCAGGTGAAAGACAGGGATGAACTGGCTGACTCAATTTAGAGGTCTGACCAGTGTGGCAATCAGAAAGCACAGTCACTTTGGGGGACAGTAAGTTTGGTTTCCTTGCACTGGATCTGGTGTGACAGTGTTCTCTGGCAACATGTGGCTGAGAGAAGCAGGTGCTCCTGTCACCCCCAGTTCAGGGATGAGGTCCTGAGGTGCAAGGGGATAAGATCAGATCCTTTTACCTGTTTGACCTCTCCTGTATACAGGTGCAGGTCTGGGGCAAACCATTGGAAATTTGGTTTCAAATGAGAGGAGAGGATCAAGATGTGGTGGCACACACCTGTAAAGTCAGCACTCAAGAGGCAGAGGCAGGCAGGTCTTTGTGAGTTTGTGGCTGGAGTGGTCTACATAACAAGTTTCAGGCCAGCCAAGGCTGCATAGTGAGACACTATCTCAAATTTAAAGAAAGAGAGAGGGGAGAAGGGGAGAGGAGAGAGGATCATCTTGGTTCTAGGGACTCAAGGCTTCCCTGGGATGAGAGCCCCTCAAAGGGCCCCTCAAAGACTCAGTCTCAGCCAAGGCAAACTCCAGGGACTTTGCAGAGCTACACTGCATCCTGTACCCTCGGCATGTCTAGCAAGGCCGCAGCTGAAATGCCCCCAGGGAGCTGTCAAGGGCCTTTTGTCCTGCCAGGCTGGCAGTTGGGGGCTGTCTGACCTCCTCTGCTGCTGAGAGGAACAGGCCTAATGCCACCCATTGCCCTGGTCTCTAGTATGGGTGGGGGGCAGAGGAAACTGGGAAAAGGGTGGGGGTCCTGAAGCTTGTTTGCTTTTCTTTCTTTCTTTTCTTTCTTTTTTTTTTTTTTTTTGACAAGCGTGAGAGTTTTCTAGTTACCAAGTTACAGGACAAAGGACCCAAGCAACTCTCCCCAAAGAACAGCATGAACTTTGTCGGCTCTGAGCCAGCACTATGCTGAGACTGTTCCCAGACCTCACTGTGCTGGGATGACAAGCTGGGGGAGCTGGGGAGCTGGGGCCCACGAAGGGGTCTGGGACTGGATCCTACAGGTCCACCAGCTCTAAATTGCCCATCTCTATATAGTGGGAGATTCATCTCCTTGAATGTGGCCACAGAGCCTCTGGATGCCTTGGCACATAAATGAGAGGACCCAGCATAGCCACTTCTCTAACCTCTGTAGGGTTTCCGTTTCTGACACCACCAGGGGGTTGCTTCTCAGACTGAGGTCCTAGAGCAGACATGTACAGCTGATCCAGCCCCCCAGCCAGGGCCTCACAAGACAGTGTCTTGGGTTTTGGAGTAGGTCAAGTGGTCCATGTTCACCTACCCTCTCTTTTCCTCCCTGAGTGGGGTGAAGGCCAGTAAGAATTAGTAATGCATGGAGAGACTAGCCTCTAAACTCAGGTGTTTTTTTTTTTTTGTTTGTTTGTTTGTTTTTTTGGCCCAAAATTTGTGGTTCTATTGCAGGCCTCCTTCATTGGGGGCCTATTGGGATGGGGACAGCTGGGCTCTGATGCTTGAGATCCATTCTGGGCCAGGCATTGTGATGGTATCTGTAGAAAGACTGTGCCTTTTTCAGTCAATGCCTCTAACAGTTTGATATGAAGCAAGTCAACACTGTGTGACTCCTCAGGGCAGGTGCATTTTGGAGGTGGGGGAATACCACCACTACCTGTCTGGGCCCAGAGTAAGACATGCTGGCTGCCTTTGGACATGCAGGGGCAGAGACCCCAAGTCCTGTTTAAAGGAAGGGCGTTCTTGTTCCACAAGATGAGAGAATGAACCAGGACCTGTGTTAGTGGATACAGGGAGGAGGAATAGAGGTCAATGAGCAGGGCCTTGATCACCTGAGTGAGGGAGGGGCTTGATGGAACATGCCTCTCCTCATCAGGTTGGGTAGCAGGCCTCCCCATGCATAGCCGAAAGCAGGCTGGGGATGGGATCCATAAGCAGTTCCCATCCTGAACACACAACCAGGCCTCTGCCACCATCTGTCCTGTGAGGTTGGGGTGGACAGCTGAGCTGTGGTGCCTTGCTAAGGCGGGGGGGGGGGGGGGGCAGAATCCTTACTGTCAGCAGGTCTGTAGGAGCCTGTCCCTTCTGATACAGCAGGAGCAGTAGGAAGAAGTGCCCAGCCAGGGCCTTTCTTGGAAGACATTATGAATGACAGTCTGGAAGGCCCTAAGTGCTCTTCCCAACAGGTGTGTGTACAGTAGCACTAAGACTTCAACAGTGACCTAGGGATGCAGCTCAGTGGACAAGTGTTTGCCTAGCATGTGTGAGACCCTAGGTTTGATTTCAGCATTGGAAACACACACACACTCACGCATGCACACACTTATGGCTTGGATGGGTTGGAAATGTCCCATTCCTTCTGTTTTTTGTTTCCACTGATACTTAGAGGCGGTCAAAAATGGCTTGCTTCAGAGCTGTGTTACTGCTCTGTTTGTTGCCTTCTGTGGCCCTTCTAAGAAGCTAGGGGTTGGAGAGGGCTGGCAGGATAAGGACCCGCAGTACCAGGGTGCCCCATGGTGGCCTCTTCATCACTCTAACACAACACTGAACTGAAGCTTAGAATCTGGACATTGCTTGGGACACAGATCCAGACTCCAACAGCTCTGAGGGACTCTAACAGAGGAAGCGGAGAGAGGCAGTCTTTTCCAAGGTGGGCAGGAGTCAGACCACCGGAAGTCCTCAATAGGATCGCTGGAGCTGTTGTTTCCCTGGGGTCACAGCTGCTCTGTGGTCCCCCTTGTGGTGCAAGGTACTGCCTAAGCAGTGGGCAGACAGCATGTGGGAGGGGTGGCATGGTGGCCTGTACAAATGTTGTGTTGGTGGGCGTCCGTCATTCCTCAAGTTCTTGGTGACCTCGATTCTCTGTGCTTCACTCATACTCTGTATCAAGAACACTGGGGGAGACGGGAAGAGGTGCAGCGAGAGGGGGTTGTCAGTGACCCAGATAGCCAAGGACAGACAGGATGATATAGATACCTTCTCAGATCAGCAGGAAAGAAGAGGCCCTGCCTCACAGGCAGACCCTGGTCAGGAGACCTGGAGAGACAGGAGGCATTGGTCAGGGCCATTCAATAGGACACTGGGCTGGGGCAGCTTATGAGGGTCCCAGAGAGTGAGTGCTGAGCATAGATAACAGAGGGAGAAGTTGAAGGGTCTAGCCTGGCTGATACCTCAGGTAGATGGTGCTGGGGTTGTTGGACATGGGGGCTGCAGAGGAATGGGGTGCTGACTGGCCCCCCAGCCATGGGCTGAGGCCTTAGCTCAACCTGACCTTTGAGAACTTATCTTGCAAGGGCTCTGGGTGAAGGCCAGGCAGGGCTAAGACCCTGCCTTGGAGGCTTGGGCTACTCCCTGGGAAGGGCCTCCAGCACCCATTCCCCTTCTGTGGACAGGAAAGTGGCGTGCTGGGTGAGAGCCCCTTCCCCCACTTCAGACCATGGTTGGCAGTTCTGGTGTTGCTGAGTACCCTACCCCCTCCCCTGGATCAAGCTTGCTGAGTTCCAGTGACCCCACATTCCAGGCCCAGAGCCACCAGGGTGTGTCTGAGCTGGAGGAGGGGCAGGTCTTGAAGGAATTTGGCAGATCACAAAAAAGAATCTCCCTCAAAAAAAGTTACAAAAACACCCCCATGAGACAGTAAGTCTGGAAATAGCAGGGCAAGAAGTGCTGTCTTGCTGCTGACACAGCCTGTCATTTGGCTTCTCCCTGCCTGCCTCTGCACATAGGCACACATGCATGCATTCCTGCATGTACATGTGGCACACTTTGCCCTATATTTTATACAGATTCGGGAACCACGGTGGCCCAATCTGCCTGCAGCCCAGGCATTCTCTGGTTCCTTCTGAGGACAGAAAATTAATGAACAAATAACACAGACTGGAACCTCAGGATTCAGAGAGCCATTGGGATGGATCCTGAGGGGCTGTTTCTGTATGAGAAGTCCAGACAGCCTGGAGATATGGGGCCTTATATGTCTTACCTGCTGTGTGCAGCCCTGGGCCTGACCCAAAGCAGGAGGTACTACAGTGCAGGCCCTGGCCCAACATCTGCTGGTCCTGCAGGGACATACCTTCTGTGGGAGGAGAGAGGCCTGGGACCCTTTTGGGCAGCCACAGAGATTCTCCCAGATCCAGGCTGAGAACCTAAGAGGCCTGGACCATCTCTAGAAGGGGGCGCAGAGGGCACAGTCCTTGCTCAAGCCTTCTGTGGCTTCCTAGTCTCACCACAGTGGCTTTTACCTCAGCCATCCATTTCAAATAGGGTATTCAGTGAGTATCGGCATTTGTTGACTAACGTCTGAGCTCTAGCACCTTCTAGGGCAGCTAACATGGCTGTCCTGAGGCTGTCTTGCTGGTTTGTGAACCACTGTCTTTTCCATCTCGGGTCTAATCAGACCCACTTGCAGCTCCTGGGATGATCCTGCCTTCCCTGTTCCTGATCCTGCTTTTCTCTGGTGACCATGGGGTATACACTGGCTCTGGTGGTCCAAAGTACAGGGAATACAGGGAGGTACAGGGAGCCAGGGCTTTGTGACCTCCTTAGGTCTTCTTACCTTCCACACAAGTGGAAGCAGTTTATATTTGAAATAGGAGTTTTTAAAGGTAGTGCTCACCCATGCTTAGAAGGGTCAAATAACAGTGGAACCCGGGTGAGTATAACCTTCAAAGCCCTGCCCCTAGTGACCCACTTGCAACCACTAGGTTCCATCTATGAAGAGGTCCACAGCGTCCTAAAATAATGCCACCAGCTAGGGAACAGACATTATAACATGAGGCTGTGGGGGACTTTCAGATTCATCCCTAACACTTTGGTCACTCACTGTCTCTATCTGAGACATATTCCTGAATCATTAAAAAGTCAGAGTTGGGCTTCTTTCATATGTGTTACTCTTGTATTTCAACACTAAGACTCTAATGCCTTACCATGGGGCTGTAGTGAGGAGACAGTTGTTCCTGAGCTGTCCTTATCTTTGTCACCTGAGACGGGCTACAACTTATGCCATGGACACTGTGGTGGCCACAGCATCTGACATGTCTGTGTAGGGGCCATCACCTGTGAGCACCTGCTGTCTACACTGCACAGGCCAAGCACCCAGCTGTGGCCAGCCCACATCCATTGTCAGATAAGGACTAGCCAGTCCTCACCTCATGTGAGTCCTCCAGAAACTCAGAGAGGCACTGGGCCCAGCCAGCTGTGTATTCCCCACCCCTGGCTCTTCTCTACAGGCAGCACCCTAACCAACCTTGGAAGGATTCTTGGCATGTTCCAGTGAGAAGAGTATCTTGGCTTAGGTACTGATTCCCAGTTCCGCAGCGATGAGTAGTACCAAAGCAGGCAAATGATTCCAAATAAAACAATAAGCAAAGGCCTTGCAGAGCCTTCTGTGCATCCCTGCCATGTGAGGAACATCAGCGAATGAAAAGGTGGGAGCCATCGGCCCGGTTGAATGTGTCTGTCCATTGAGGGTTAATGAAGGCTTATCCCCTTCCTCAGCAGATGCAGCCCACCTGGCCCGACTAGGAGATGGAAGTTTGGCCAAGCGGTTCTCTGTCCACTCCATGAAAGGCCAGAAGCTGAGAGAAGGTCCTTGAGAATATATAGACATGAAGTTTGCCATTAGGAACTGCTCCAACCTCCATGTCTGTCGTGGAGGGGTCCATTTATGTATGTGGAGACATCTCCGGGTGGCCAGCAGCCTTTGTGAAGAGCTGGCATTAGGCATATTTAGAAGCGGTGACCTGGCAAAGCAGATGTTTCCTCTACCAACAGTCACGATCATGAGATGTGGTGGACTCTTTACAGCCAATATGTGTGAGCGCTTTGTGACATGAGAAGACAGTGAACAGTAGTAGTACTTTGTGGCAAGAGGTGGGTTGTCAGGCGTGAGTGCTCTGTGACAGGAGTGGGATAGTGGTCATGTATGCTGTGTAACAGGAGGGGGCAGTGGTCACGTATGCCGTGTAACGAGGGGGCAGTGGTCACGTATGCCGTGTAACGAGGGGGCAGTGGTCACGTATGCCGTGTAACGAGGGGGCAGTGGTCACGTATGCCGTGTAACGAGGGGGCAGTGGTCACGTATGCTGTGTAACAGGAGGGGGCAGTGGTCACGTATGCCATGTAACAGGAGGGGGCAGTGGGTATGAGTGCTGTGGGACAGGAGAGGCACAGTGGGTATGAGTGCTGTTACAGGATGGGGCAGTGCTTTGAGTGTTCCGTGACAGTAGGCAGTGCAATAGGTGTGAATTCTATGTGGCAGGAAACAGAACAGCTAGTGTGAACACTCTAATAGGAGGCAGGACCATGGGGTTGAATGCTCTGCAGCGGGAGGCAGGGTCACAAGATATGGACCATCATGTGTGAGCACTCTGTGATAGGAGGAGAGAGCGGGTATGAGCACTTGGTGGCTACTGTGGGGGCCTTCTTGAACTGATTCCTCTGGGTCATCTGGTGTTGGTGGAAGGTCTGCCCCTGCCTCCTCACTTAGCAGCTCCAGCCAGCCATTGCTCAGGGGACTGCATCAGGGGACTACAGACTCCTATAGCACGTGCTTGTAGCAGGCCTTTTTTTGAGACTTCTTTGGACATAGCTACCACTCCTGGACCTTCCATAGCCACCGGGGCAGTACCAGGGCATGCTCAACTGAAGGTGTTTTCTGGGAGCTGTCATCAGACTTTTTGGAGTCCTATCACACAGTTCCCTAGCAGCGAGGAGGAACCTGGGCAAAGTATTCTGGTTGAAGTCAGTGTCTGTGGCCAGTTGAGCCAGTGATCAAGCTGCTCAGCTTGATTCTGACAGTAAGCTAGGTAGGTGACAGAGTCTGCCTCTCCCCCCAGTTGCTGTCTCAGCTTTGCCTTTTCTTGGTCTCAGCCCATACAGCCCTGTTCAAAGGCCTTCCCCACTGTGGGGAGACTTGTTTCTCCCTCTCATACCAGAGATCACTCTGCCTTGGCTTTTGCAGTGCTGACCTAGCACTGGTACTGGTACACAGGGGCAGAGTGACATCCAGTGAATGTGGTCACAGGCTCAGGTCCACAGTACTGCCCTTCAGCACTGCTTCCCTTGCCCAACCTTTCTACTCTTTCCTGATCACACTTAGGTTATCCTGAACACAGGGACTCTAGGAAAGGTGCTGGAACATGGCAGATTTGGTCATATTTTCTCTTCCTTCAATCCATATCCGCCCATAGGATGGAGCCCAGTGAATGGTGGACAGATGGAGGGATGAGTGAGTGGATGAATGGATGGAAAGAGGAAGGGATGAATGGATGAATGGGGGGATGGATAGATGAACAGAGATGATGGTCGAGTGGATGGATGGTGGATGTTGGATGATGGATGGAAAGCTGGGTCGGTGAAGGAGGGAAAAATGGGTGCATGAATGCTTAGAGTCTTGACTCCTTGAGTCAATCTGTTTCCTCTAAATAAAAAAACATGTTCCTTGCCGGGTGTGGCGGTGCACGCTTTTAATCCCAGCACTCGGGAGGCAGAGGCAGGCAGATCTTTGTGAGTTTGAGGCCAGCCTGTTCTACATAGTGAGTTCCAGGAGAGCTGGGGGCTACAGGGAGACCCTGTCTCAAAAACGACCAAAAAAAAAAAAAACCCAAGAAGAAAAATATGTTCCTTGTGTGTCACCCATTCTTTCCTATCCTAGTTTAGTTTCTAGTGATGTAATAAATAAAACACTGACAAAAATTCAACTTGGAGAGGAAAGGGTTTATTTCATCTTTATGTCTTACATCATCAAGGCAGAAACCTGGAGCAGAAACTGAAGCAGAGACCATGGAGGAATTCTTATTACTGGCCTGCTTCCCCTGGCTTCCTCTGTTACCCTCCTTATACAGCCCAGGCCCACCCACCCAGGGATGGCACTGCCCACAATGGACTGGGTCCTTGTACATCAATTAGAAATCAATAAAGTGTTTCACAGACATGATCTGATGGAGGAAATTCCTCAACTGATGTTCCCTTTTCCCTGTGTCTCTAGTTTGTGTCAAGCTGACAAAAACCAACCAGCACACTTTTCATGGGTGCCCCTGCCTGCCTGCTTGGGGATAGTGTCTTTAGAGCTGCAGGGTCTCATGAGTGTCCCCAGAGTAGAAGTACAGCCAGCCTGCCTGAATTAGAGCCACCTTACCCACCACTGTCCCCAGAGCAGACATTGAAAAGTCACTTGTCAGGGGACAGTGGAACCTTGAAGCCTCCGTATCCAGCACTTTGTGCAGGCTCAGGTGCCATCTGCCACCAGAGCAGCTGGACAGCATTTTGAAAACAGTGTTTTCTATTAATTTCTCCCCAACTAGCCCCTGGTTCAAACAGCCTCCTAGATCCAAATGAGAGGTTGAGAACAAAGGGGAGCCCGGCTCAGGGAGGCACACCCCAGTGGTGATATTTGGGCCCGTCAGACTTGGAGATCTTTGTTAGAAGAGCCAATCCATAGGCACACAATGCCCGTGCAGGGTGACGGCCAACGGGGAGTTTGTAGCTTACCTGGTAGAATTCCTGAAACAAAGGGGGCACTTAGGAGAGAGGCAAGAAGTGGGCGTGGCCCCTGGAGGTCCTCACGACCCACCTGCTTCTAGGTCACTGCTCTGGAGCGTCAGGTGTTTGACTTCCTGGGCTACCAGTGGGCGCCCATCCTGGCCAACTTCATCCACATCATCATGGTCATCCTGGGGCTCTTCGGCACCATCCAGTATCGGCCGCGTTACATCGTGGTGGTGAGTCCGCTGTGTTTGGCTGCCCTGTGTGGGGAAGTGACTAGGTTGGGGACCTCCCACAGCAACATCAGGCCCTACTGTCATGGAAGCCATCTGAACTCTCCAGAAATACCAACCCAGACCCCAGGCTTAGACATTTCTTTTGCCTAGACATACAAAATTCAACTTTGAATGATGTGGCTTTTCTCAGGGATGCCTTTAGAAGGAACTGTATACTTAATACCTTCACTAGCTCATCCCTCCATAGCAAGAGATGTGGGTGCTCTTGTATAGTGGGCCACAGTGGTTTGAACCCCAGAACACCTAGCCCCTGCCTCCCTCCCTCACCATTCTGCATCTGATCTGACTTTGGGGTCCTTCAGCCTATTTGTCAGGTGCACATAAGCAGTCAGTGCAACCAGGTATCGGCAGAGTGCCGGCGTCTGTGCTGCGTGCAGCTCTGTGGGCCACAGACTGATGAATGAAGCCGCTGCAGCCTGCCGTAGCAGCCGCAGAATAATGGTGTCAAGAAAACTGCACTCAGCAAACAGGCAGTTGTTTCAGGGCATTCTTTGGGGGTTGTCTGGGGGTACCCTGTAATTGGGATTTCACTTGTTTTTCACTCACCTTGAACAGCCAGGGCACCTCCAGAGCCAGTTCCTTTGAGTTGACTCGCTCCTTTCCAACAGTATCTTGCTGTGTAGCCCAATCTGACTTCGAACTCACCATCTTCCTCTCTTGCCTCTTAAGTGCTGGGATTACAGGCACACACTAACGAGCTTAGCATCGAGTTCGCTTTTCCTAATGCCCTATGTCCTGGGTACTTGGGTGGCGTAGGAGTCCTGTCACCTTGGTGGCAGCTTGAGGAGGGTGCCTCAGGCTGACACCTGTCCAGTGTGGGCTTAGCGAAACCTTTCCAAGCTAAGCATTGGACTTGCCATGGACTCATGGGATTTCTTCTAAGGGGCGGTCAAAAGCAGATATCAAAAGCAGATGTTCCCCCCCCCCCCGAAGCTACTGAATTCAACTTCTGCCCCTATCCTCTTTGATCTCCCTAGTATGCTGTGTGGGCAGCTGTCTGGGTCACCTGGAATGTCTTCATTATCTGTTTCTACCTGGAAGTGGGGGGCCTCTCGAAGGTAAGTAAAGATGGGAAGGGGGCGGTCCATCCATTAGGTCTTGGCTAGATCACCATGTGACACATAAAGCTTAATGTATTGCTTGCCTCCTGATGGTGATGGGAGCTTGGTGTACAGCACTGATCCAGCACCAGAACTATTTTGGCCATGATTGGAGCCTCACTAAAGGTTTGGGAAGACTGGCTTGTGGGTGGTGAGGATTGTCAGTGAAGCATTGTAGGTATTAGTGGGCCAGGGCCTCTAGCTGAGTAGCACACTGGGAGGACCTCCTGGAGAGGTCCTCAGAGCTGAGGCAGTGCCAGGAAGACTGAGTGGACAGATGGCAGACGTGTGTAGGTGAGACCCTGTCAGAGCTAGTGGGACTGGGCACAGGACACTGACACACTACTGCCATGTCCCTCTATAAGGCAGAACCTGCTCAGGTGGCACACTGCAGTCGGCCAGGGCAGAAGACCCCACTTGGCCACTTGGCAGTGGTGTTGGGGCTGAGCAGATCCTGACCGAGTTATATAGGACACCGCATATCACTCAGGATCAGTAAGGGATTTCAGTGCACAGCTATTCTCTGCCCTGGCCAGTGAACATGTGCCCGGTAGGGTTGGGTAGCCTTACCTCGTGGGGCTACAGTTAGGGAGAAATTGACATGAGTCTAAACACACACAGTGGCAGCTTTGGCCAGGGACATGAAGAAGGGTTTTGAGGGATCTGGGCACCATGACAGTGAGTCCTGGGGTCTGCCCCAGTTGGAAGGCCTTCCTGGAAGATCGTTAGGGCTGAGGGTCAGCAGAATCAGACTTTCCCATAGAGGGTTTTTTTTTTTTTTTTTTTTTTTTTTTTTTTTTTTTGAAAGGGGTCTCCCGTGT